TTCTCATTTTCTATGGATTTTCCATCAACATTTGAATCACCAGCTCACAACATTCAGTTGGGCTCCACTAAATTCCTCCTTTCTCTTTCTCTCTCTTTATATATATTGGTGTATACATACATACAGATTTATACCTATAGTATAGATACAAGAACCCTACAATTTGTAGGCTAGAAAGTCAAAAAGTCAGATCGACCTCAGCCAATGGGCTTGCACTCAAAGCATAGACATGGGTTATTGCCTTATTGGTGGACACCTATATATGAATTATTTGGAATCTACATAAGTTTCTTAATTTGATGTTCAACTTCAGGAGTTTCACTTGAAGACGACTTTGAAGTTTGAAGAGTGGAACTTCTTGGGGTTCATTTTATTTTCGGCTGCTTTCGAAGCTGTCGTCATCTTTTGGGGAAAATATTAACACATACATACATCTATATTAGAGATACACTTAAACCAGATTATTTTCCAACAAAATCTAAGTTCGCTGATTCAAATCTTGTTCAAACTATTAGACTTTTTTCACTTTCCTAGAGCCTAGAGAGTATGACATGATGTTAGGAAAATGATGGCTTTAGATGTATCATTTCTCATTGGTTGTATATTTTGACCGTTGCAAACTTTCTACTGATTTTAAGCATACTCCGAAGTTAGTTTAAGATTCAGGTCAGGTACTAAATTGTAAGTGTGATTACATACATAATCTTCGCATATCCTTGGGCCATTGGCCTCACATAAGTTATTAATAAATTAATGTATATATGTTGGTATGTCAAAGTTGGTGATGCAAAAAAAAGTCTATAGAACAATGTTGTTCATATAGCATTTCGTTAGTTGTTTACTGTTAAAGAACAGTGAAGATTGCCAAATTAAACAGGATTAATTTAGCCATGTGAATAGTTTCGCTTGTTTCTTTGAATCCTTATTATTTATAATTCATTAGTACAGCTTTTTTCTAATTATCCATACATGTAACCCACACATACCTCGATTTGCATTGTTCCCTTATTAAATAATATCTATATTTGTAAAAGGAAAACGGAGAATACAAACTTTTAAGTGTTTACAGGAAAAAAGAAAAAGAAAAAAATGAGTGTAGCATTGGATGATAATTAAGTGGTTTAGAAATGTAGTGATCAGTATTTCTCCACGTATCAATCTTAATTATTTAATATATAAGCTTTTGGTGGCATCTTTTATTAGCTTTTCCCTTAATCTTGTAATATAATAAAAAATTAATGCTGTCGGGGTATGGAAAACAAAAAGCAAGCAAATGACAGAAAAATAATTTCTTAAGATAAGAAAAGAGAAAGGGGAAGAAAAGGGAATGGGAATATATTAAATGTAGGTTTTTAAAGTTTTCAGAAAGTAGCATATATGGAATATCAAATTCCAAATGTGGTACCATTCCATTGTTAATCATGTCTGGATTAATTTTTATTATCGTAAACGTGCACATTGATCATAAACTTATTTTTTGGTTACATATGCATCAAATATTGCAGATAACTAAAACCAAAACAAAATAATATATATTGCAGATAATTTAATTTATAGAATTAGTGAGTACACTTGGAAAAAATTCAGTTTCAATACTTAATAAAAGATGTAATTAAGTTACATAACTAAAGTAGAGGTGGAATTGTCGGGTCACTCGAAGGGATTTATCCTAAAATGGACTCTAACATAGATTAAAGACTAATTCTAATTAGGCTCTTTGGAGCTCTTTTGTGCGTCTTTAATTACTAATTTAGTATTAATGGAGTATAGACTTTAACCATTTTCTTCTTTCAAAACATGCATTGTAGGATCTCGTAAAAAAAAAAAAAAAGAGTGTTAAGCAAACAAAGGGGGTAAATACAAATAGTAGGTAGCAAAACTTTAGGATCTCGTCAAACCAGGACCCGCTTCCCCATTCACTCTTTGGTAAGTAATTGAGTAAAGAAAACCAAACATATATATCTGCGACGGACAAATCGGAAAATTCGTTCCAAACAAATATATTATGTAAAAACATTTGTTCAGAACATGTTATTAAATATCAGTTACATTATGTTTTAGAGAAAACTAATATCCCTAATGACTGTGTTTTAATATAGAAAAAAAACAAATATATAATCAATCACCCATCTTATTTTTTTTCAAAAAACAGTATTCATAGTCATAGCTAGCAATAGTACAAGAGACCTTTAAATGAATACCATAAGAAACTTTTTTTTTTTTCATAAGAGCAACTACATCGGTTGAAATAAGTTTTTGAGTTTCCTATAAATTAAATATTATTTTTTTAATATTAAAAAAATGGACCACTAATAAATAGACAATGGAGAGAGAGTTTATAAAATGCCTAGCAACGTATCTTAAAAGAGAAATATCTCTAGTTCTCTCTCCTCTTTTTAAAATTATAATTTTGAGAAACTTTTTTAGAGATCAGCGTTGTGGTTGCTCTAAGAAACTTAAAACACAAGAATTACGCAAACTAGGCATTTGTTCTAAAAATCTCTGCATATTTCTGATTAATGACTCATCTCTTGAAGAAATTATTTATCTGATTATTCTTCGTCTATTCCGATTTTTTTCCGTATCATCCTCTAATTCGAAAACTCTCCGCCTAATTTTGCATACCCTAATTATTTTTAGATTGTAAGTATAAAATAATTTTTTTTTGTTATTCAGACATTTAGATTGCGAGTTTGTGAAATTTTATAATAATTTATGTTTAAAATTTTAAAATAAATCATTAAATTTTGTCTGAAATTTATATTTCTGTGTTTACTATAATTTTGAAAACAATACTGAATTAATATGTTTTAAAACATTAAAATAATCCTAAAACTAGTTTGAAGTTTCCGATTAATTTTTTATTTTAGTCCAATTCTCTGATTAATCATTAGATCCATATCGAATACCCGATTAACACCTAACAATTTTTCAAGGAACTAGGCTAAATCACACGATGTGTTTCAAACTTTTGCATATATATATATATATATATAGAAATGTATGATGTTAGTAGGGATAATGTCCGGAAAAAGAAACCAAAAAAAAACCCGAGAAACAGAACATTTCAATGAGGATAATAATCATTTCATGAAATTAAAAAAGAAAAGAAACATTTTCAATTGACAAAAACAAGTACTACATTTTGATGTAAAAAAAAAAAGAGAGGAAAATGTATAAATTGAAAAGAAGAGAGAGAGAGAATGAAAAGACAAGTCAAACGTCAAATCGAACCACTTCCTTATCATACGACTGTCAGTGCCCTTCTGTGTTGTCATTCTTTTTTCTCTTATTTTTTCTCACTTTCCTTTTACCCCAAAATTACCAAACAAAGAGAGAAATAGCTTCTTTTTTTTGTTTTTGTTTTCAAAATAAATATCCTCTCACACGTGTGCTCTCGAACGCACGACGTAGATAACAACAATACAACATATACCAAAAAAATAATAGTTCGTACGACAAGAATGCATTCCATTATCTTTTTCATTAAATCAACAAATTTCTAATAACTAAGATGTTCTTTTTTTCTTCCAAGAAGGCATAACAAATAAGATGTTAATAGAGTTTTATCAAGTCTTTTACTCCCTTTTCGAATGAGTATATTTTTAGCAACAAATAATATATTTTTAATGGGAAATTACCCTTTTAGAATGACCAAATCATAAATTAATTCTTATACCGAATTTGGTTATAATAATGAGAAGAAAAACAATAACAAGACGGACCCTATCGATCCGGCCGACACGCTTCTCTATGTCCGTCCCACTCACTTTCCCATCCATGTGTATTTTTTTCTGAAATTATTATTATTTTTTTATAACGAAGAATGAATTTAATTTAATTTGATTGGTCCAACTCCAGTCCAACTAGTTAAATACAGCTTTCTCAACTGGTGAATATATGGGTTCGGACCACGACTGCGCCATTATCAGAGCCACGTCTTGACTTCTGTGGTTTCATTCTCTACCTGATTGATTTGATTTTTGTATGTTAGACGAATAATAGCTTTGTTTGATGATTCACTACTATATGATTTTTTTGCCATTTAACATATATCTTGGTAATCAGTTAACCACTATATCGTATACAGTTGAAGTTTAATATTGACAAAAATTGCATTTTCATTAGAGCAACGTGCTCATACAACCATTGTTTAAAATTTTAATTTAAATAAACAATAATTTTCTAATAAGTTGTTATGAGCGACTGTCAAAAAGATATCACTAAATTAATGATAAAAATTAGCGCTTGATTTTAGTTTTACATGCATTAACACATTAAATAATTATATAAAGCCTAAAAAATTTAGATCACCCATTTAATTAAAAAGAATTATTTGATAAATTAAGTATTTAAATTAATCACAAGGATAACCCGTTTTAAAAAAAATGTTTTAAGTACCCATTTTTCTGAGCTCATTGCCATCTACTCATCTAGTGCAATTTATCTTTATTTATGAAACATATCTTACATCACCGTTAATATACAAAATGTTTTAACATTTTATATATAGTATTATAATACATGATAAGTCCTTAAACAAAAAAATACATGATAAGTTATAAATTTAGTCGTCTATAAATGAATAATTCAATCCACAACAAATGCAAATACCTTTAACAAAAAATAAATAAATTCAAATACAAAATATAATTCAACTAACAACAGCAAATCAAAAAGAAAAATTGAATTCATGATATGTAGTAACAGTCTAACAGAATTTTCAATTGATATATGTTATTTACAAGATTTGGGGCTTATATTTGTAGATATATAAGTAAAATTTTGATAGTTCTAGGCTAATCTTATTAGGATTAGTTTAATAGTTGATTGCTGTGTATGTAAAGTAAGAATATCCAGTTCTTACGTAAAATCGAGTGACCAAATTTTTTGTATCCCGGATCTTCTGGTTAGAAAAAAATTTAATACCTAGCCAAAAAAAGTAAAGCGAATTTAAAATAAGAAAAAGAAAAAGTAAAGAGGAGAAAAGAAGGATGGTGAGGATTGGTCCAACGGTCAAACAGAAAACCATCAAATCAGATTTCACTACAGTTACGAAATTTATTTCACTCCTTCTTTCTGTCTTTTAACTTAATTAGGCCTATGTTCTTATCCATCACCTTCCTCTCTTTTTTTACCATTTTATCCCATCTCCCATTTATATATATACATGTGTATCATTGTGTTGTTCAGGCTTCACATGGTTCTGTATCAAGCCAAAAAGACAATTGCCGAGGATCTTGGATTTATTATATTATCCCACTACTACTCAATTCATACGCCTTGTTTTCTTTGTTGGAAATCAGATTTAGGTAGGATTTTGATTAGTCAGGTGCTAATGATGTTTCATTGTTTATTAACACTTAATTCTCTCATTTGAAATTCTTTCTATTTTCCATTAATAGGTTTGGCCCACCTTTGTATTCATTTCTTCTTAATAATTATTTTCCTGTTTTAGTAACCAAATCACTAAATTTCCATTGATTATTAATAATACTTTTAACCCTTTTTATAATCGGCATAAAGACAAAACACTGAAACAGTTATTAATTTTTTTACCATCTTAGTTTAAATATCTGAGCCGCCCGGTTCATCCATTCAAATCTCTCTCTTTCTCTTATCAGGCCAAAAAAAATATCTAACACCACAAAGCAATAAAGAATCCTTCTCTCTCTCTCTTTCTCTTTCTTTCTCTCAGAGAGAAGCAAGAAAGAAGCTTCAAAAGACCAAAGCTTAAGCTTTTTCCCCCGGAAAATTTGTTCCCCTTTTTCCAAAAACTAATCATAATTCAAAACTTCATCCTCTATTAGCCAACAAGATCAATCAAAGGAGGCAACATATTTTTTTCCTTCTCTTTCTCAAAAGACTACTTGCTAAAACCCTAGCTTTTGTTCTATAGAGAATTCAAGAACCAAATTTCTTTTTATAAAAAAGATGAGCAGTCTTGAAGAATCTTTGAGATCTCTATCGTTGGATTTCCTAAACCTACTAATCAACGGTCAAGCTTTCTCCGACGTGACTTTCAGCGTTGAAGGTCGTTTAGTCCACGCTCACCGTTGTATCCTCGCCGCACGGAGTCTTTTCTTTCGCAAATTCTTCTGTGGGACAGACTCACCACAACCTGTCACTGGTATAGACCCGACCCGACATGGGTCCGTACCCGCTAGCCCAACAAGAGGCTCCACGGCCCCAGCTGGAGTTATACCAGTGAACTCAGTCGGTTATGAGGTGTTTCTGTTGCTACTTCAGTTTCTTTATAGCGGACAAGTCTCCATCGTGCCGCAGAAACACGAGCCTAGACCTAATTGTGGCGAGAGAGGATGTTGGCACACTCATTGCTCAGCCGCCGTTGATCTTGCTCTTGATACTCTCGCCGCCTCTCGTTACTTCGGCGTCGAGCAGCTCGCATTGCTCACTCAGGTTCTCTTTCCCTCTGTCTCTGCCTTCACACTACTTACTTCTCCATGCATATCACAATGAAACAAAATTGAAAGTTTCCACTTTGTTGGTGTTGTTCTGCTTCTTTTAAATTGTTTTCTTTCATGAGCTTGGTTTAAATTTAATAAATCATGAAACCCTTTTGGTTCGATTTTTTGTTTTCTTTTGTTCATAGATTTAGCTTAAGTTTATTAAATCACGAAACTCATTTGGTTTAATTATTTTTCTTTCATGGATTAAATTTGTTAATTTTCAAAAACTGTATTTGATTAAATATACGTGTATATATATATTTTAAGTTATATTTGTTCTTGTCTTGATTTCATGTGTAAATGTGTTTAAGTTTCTTGCTTTGAAACAACTTTCCATCGGCCGCTAATGTTTCCGAAAGTAGAAGCCGGTGGTTTTGTTGCACGGAAGAGAATTTTCCTTAAAGTAGAAAATTTGAAGAGCTATATTATGTAGTTGGATCTATTCGTTTCTTGGTCTTAATGTCTTATCCAATTAATTTTCCTCATTTGGGGTTTAGATACTAATCAATCTATAAAAAAAAAAAAAATCCATATGAGATGACAAGAAAGTTAATTAATAGAAACAAATCCATACCCTAAAAATGGAAATTAAACCCCACTTGCTGAAAAAGTCGGTTCTTTGGATTTATAGCATACTAATCAAATAAACTGTTTGTATGATTGGCAGAAACAATTGGCAAGCATGGTGGAGAAAGCCTCTATTGAAGATGTGATGAAAGTTTTAATAGCATCAAGAAAGCAAGACATGCATCAATTATGGACCACTTGCTCTCACTTAGTTGCTAAATCAGGTCTCCCGCCAGAGATTCTAGCCAAACATCTCCCTATCGACGTTGTCGCCAAAATAGAAGAGCTTCGTCTGAAATCTTCTATCGCTCGCCGTTCTCTAATGCCTCACAACCACCACCATGATCTCAGCGTGGCTCAAGACCTAGAAGATCAAAAGATTAGAAGGATGCGACGAGCTTTGGATTCATCAGACGTGGAGCTAGTGAAGCTGATGGTTATGGGAGAAGGACTCAATCTTGATGAGTCATTAGCATTGCATTACGCTGTTGAAAGTTGTAGTAGAGAAGTTGTCAAGGCTTTGCTTGAACTTGGAGCTGCCGACGTGAATTATCCGGCGGGTCCCGCGGGAAAAACACCTTTACACATTGCGGCTGAGATGGTCTCTCCAGACATGGTGGCTGTTCTGTTAGACCACCACGCTGATCCTAATGTACGGACAGTTGGTGGAATCACTCCTCTTGATATCCTTAGAACATTAACTTCGGATTTCTTGTTCAAGGGGGCAGTTCCTGGATTGACTCACATTGAACCGAACAAGCTTAGGCTTTGCCTCGAGCTTGTTCAATCAGCTGCAATGGTGATATCTCGAGAAGAAGGAAACAATAGCAACAATCAAAATAATGATAACAATACCGGGATTTACCCTCACATGAATGAGGAGCACAATAGTGGAAGCAGTGGAGGGAGCAATAACAATTTGGATTCAAGATTGGTTTATCTCAATCTTGGAGCAGGTACGGGTCAGATGGGTCCAGGTCGAGATCAAGGGGATGACCATATCAGTCAGAGGGAAGGTATGAGTCGGCATCATCATCATCATCATCAAGACCCATCTACAATGTATCACCATCATCAACATCACTTCTAGTTCTCTATTGGTCTCTATATCTCAACCATTAAGACTCAAAATATATTTATTGACTTAGTTCTTATATCATTCTATATATATTTTTGTATATGGAAATGAGGACCTATAAGGAGAGTATTAAGAAGAGGGGCATGGAGGAATTGAAGATCATGCATCATATAATTAAAGACTAGGTTTATTTAATTTAGTTGCTCTAGCTAGCGTTGTACTAATTAATCATTTGATTAATTTGCCATTGCCCATTGATTAGTTAATATCTTATCTTTCTACCCTAGTTCATGCTCTCGTACGTAACTACGGCTGTTAGAAATAATCATATGGAACGCTTTAAATTTATTAAGCCTAACTAACAGAAGTTACTATACAATAATAATACATGGTATGTTCGAAATAAACCTTTCACAATAATAGTTTTACAAGATGTTGTTTACTTGTTTTATTCGTGATTCGAGAACTGTCTTTTAATTGAAGTTTTTGTATGTATTTGCATCAGCATTGTCTTATCGGGTTTATAAATATAATCATATTATATGGTACACAACAAAAAAATATATCTTTCCGTTTATCCTCTTCAAAAATTTGATGGTTACAAAATATTTGTTGTGTGGCTGATTCTCTATCGTCGTATAAAACGGTCTGCAACTTGGAATATCGCTAGTAATTATATATATATATATAATAGTTTTTTTATTGACGTCGAATATCACTGCTATATTATATGACTGATTTCACATACACAATATTTCACTTCTCTATCTTATTTCGGATGCGTTGATCGTGAAACTAGCTACTGGCTAGTACATATCAGAAAATAAAGTAATTATTAGAAAAATTATTGTTAACGAATCTAAAGTATAATCCATTATTTATTCCTTCCTCTAGTTTACATCGAATCATATTTTCAAAAGTTGAAACATGAGATGATATCACCATAACTTCTTATGTTTTAGCTACAGTGTTATTATATATGGGAGGTTCAAACCGGTTAACCAATATTATTCGTTGTCTAATAACTTATTTGCTTAATTTATTTTAAAAATACAGAATAAACTACAAATTAGAAACAATTTTCTCTTGATTGCGAAAGATATCGTTATGTTTGATCCCCGAAAAAGAAAAAAAAAAGGTTAAGAAGCTAATATAGGATAAAAAAAAACTTTAAATGAGGATTGGAATTGATTGGTAAACTTAGAATGGAAGCAATCGTTTATTCATCTCTAACATAAAATTGAAACATCAAATCCATTGTCGTGTAAAGATTAACACAAGGAGATTGGGACATTACATTAGGAAACAAACACCTTTGATCATATAAAAACACATATAAATATAACAAAGAGAAAATAAAATAAAAATGAAAAGTAGAAAAGCCAATATTTATGGGAGTGTCAATGTCACTTCTACAATGTAGAGCCCTATCAAATCCGATCTAGTGTCTTCGGTCAGTGTTCGTTTTTTACTTCGCTTTCATCGCAAATAAAAACACTTTTTTTTTTTTGTTTGCTGTATTATTTTTGGGTGAATTAGCTGTGTAGTCATATTTGCACCAAAAATAAAGAATATAACCATATAATTTAGGTAATTCAGCAAGTAACCAAAAACCCTAAATAATTACAAGTCTATCCCTGCATTATTTTCTTATTTTCCAATTTGCCATTATTCTGAAACGCATATGCTTTTTGTCGTCGGAGCTCAGGTTTTGCGCCATTAGCAGCGGCGTCGATGCAGAAAAGCCGACAGAATCACTGAGCGTCGAGCATGTTTGATATTAGAAGTATCGATTCATGGTCGAAAAGCTTGGGTTAAATCTAAACAGAGCAAAAAAAATTCGAAGACGGAGGAGTAGAATTAGAAAGGATTCCTAAGGAATCCGGTGTCTAGATTCGATGGTGGTAAAAGATAGAGATGAGGGTGGTGTGAAGAAATTGCATAGCCGGGACTAGAGGTCTGTTGAGGAGGTGATTGGCGGTGGAGATAAATCGGTTTCAGACGAGTATTCAGGTGATCTTGATGGATAGGAAGTGAGGTTGGATTTGATCGGATATCCATTGTTGGACGGAGGAGAGATTGGTGAATTGTGGGATTTGGTTGTTCGGAACGGTGACGGTGGCTAATTGGGGGTATAAGTGTATATATTACATATTATATACAGAATATAGTAGTCTTTTTTTTTTTATGGTTACTTATTTAATTTGTTGTTTTTTTATCTACTCCAATTTTCCATTATTTTTTCCCCTCCCAACTTTTTTCCATCAAAACTCTGTTTTTCTTTTCGCCTGTCTATAATTGAGCCAGCAAACATGGAGTTAACACTTGAAAATGTAATAACCACAAATTTAAAACTAACTAGAAATTAAACCATTTGAATTCTGATTCAAAAATTAATAGCATAAAATAGTATAAAAACAATTAGGACATGCTAAAATCATTTGTATTTGTTATCGTTTACTATATAGGTCAATGAATTGTTTTTTCTAAATATCATCAATACGAACAGCTAAATATTCACTTTTGTAGACTAATATACATATAAATCTCTATCTGGTGCAACAATACTAGGGAATGTGAACAAAAAGATCCATAGAACAACAACATAAGGACTTGGTGTCCTGAAAACAAAACAACATTTTGTGTTCCGTTTTGTTTCTTCCACCAACCAAGATCAGTCTTTCTCCAAACACACAACTCTTACGGTAAAGATATGTTGGATGGTTTCAAATCACAGCTTTGGAATATATAGGTACGTTGGAGAATGATTATTTGAACAGAGCATATGAATTAAGTTAACGATTTAGAAAGATATGAAAATAAATTAAAAAACCCAATTCAAAGCTGAAAAAAAACAAAATTTGTATAAAAGCATATTGTTATTGTATGCACACAGAATCTATAGAGGAAGCAGGTCATTTCTTGCGAGCCAAAGCTGCAGCGATTCCACCAGCTATGAGGCCAACGGCTGTAGCCGTGATGCCTATCCCAATAACACCATCTGCAATTAGGAATAACACAACTCTACATCAGAATCATTGTTCAGATTGTGTGAAAAATGATTCAGAACCGCTTTCAATTACCCTTTGCGATCTTGTCTTCAATGGTTTTCTTTAAGACCAAAGCTTGCCTCCAATCAGGTTGAATCTATGGAAACCAACCATTAAACGAGTAAAGAAGTAGACAGACATTTAACACCATGAGCCTATTATCGATTTGTGAAAAAAAAGAGTGTGAACCTCGATACAACGTTCCACGAGCTGCCTGCTCTTTGAGTAATCCCCAGTCCGGTAATATCCAACAGCAAGAAGGTAAAGCTTCTCCCGGTCTTCCAAAGGAGGGCTACTGCTTGCTAGAGAAGCTGCAACAAAAGGGTTGGTCAAGTTCTGGTTTACACTTTACACCACCATGAAAGGTAAAAGCTTTGACCATTCATTAGACACAAAGCAGAGTTTGATGGTGCATTAGATCAAAGCACAAGCATTTGATGTAAATCACTATACCTTCGAGCATGGCAATACCGCGCTGGATATCTTCAGCTTGGCGAGAATGGACAAGAGCCCACGATAATCGCATAATGCTCTCTTTCTTCTTTTCTTCAGAGTCACCATCAGAGGACTCCTTAACCTCTTTCTCACACCCCTGAAAAGCAAGCATCAGAGGGTTACTTGGTGTGTGTGACTGTGAAGAACATTCGAAAAACATGAAACTTTCCGACATAAAGCTAAGACATTTGGTTAAAGCTCCACAAAGATCATGACTTTGACTTATAAACCAAGTTATGCAAATAAACAAATTCTACAGAAATTTTGTTTTCACTATGGATTTGATCTTTGAATTACGATAACCGAATTAGGGTTCTAGTAACTATTTACACAATTCATGAAATTTCTAGAGCTCAGTTCAAAATTCTCCCGAATATAGAAACAATCAAGGACGAGCCATTATCGAGAAATCAAACCAATTTTCATATAACCCAAAATCACAATCAGAAAACGGCGAAAAAAGGGGAAAGAGGAAACTAACAACGATGACATCTCGCTCGCACCATGGGATTTTATCGCCGCCGGAGAAGAAGGAACCAACGGAGTCGAAGAAATTTCCGATTTTGGAACCCATTTGCGCCGATCCAAGTTTTAGACTTTTTGTTTCTCTCTCTTCTCTTTTAAGTATCGGCGAGAGAAAGAGAGAGAGGGACTGAAGGCCCAAGTCCAGGAAGAATTTTATTTCTTTTCAAATTGTAATAAGACCCCTGTATTTTGGGATATTTACTAACTCATCTCTATACTTATGCTTATTTAAAAATAGCCCCGAGATAAAATAGTGATGTGTTTGGCAAGCAAAAAGAGTCTGTATGGGATAAGAAGAAACGTCTTTTTGTTCCATGATACAAAGCCTTTCTTATACGCAATTTCATCGAACAAACCTGCGGCCAGCGGGCCAAATTATTTATTAGTCCGAAGCAACTAAACAATGCAAGAACTGACAAACATATGGGATGGTGGCAACGACACCAGACCATTCAACCGTCCCGCTAATTCCTTCTCCAACCCTATCCAACGCGATCAATGCACACCAGATCTTCTCCTCCTTGTTATTATTATTCATCTTCTTCCTCTTCTTTGTAGTAATAGTAGTACTAATGTCTCTTTCTCTCCAGAAAATAGCTAGCTTCCCATAATATTCCGCCATTGCAGAGCCATACAACTTTCGCTGCAGTGTCTGCACATCACCAGTAACCACTCTCCATACGTTAAGCTTTGTGTCAAGCCACATTAGCCCACATTTGGTAAAAAAAGCAAAGAGCACATTGTTTGCCACACATATGCACCAAACCCAATTCCCATCAATTGGCATATCCAGTTTCTCCTTTCTTGTACCTTGTCTCAGATTGTAGACAATGATACTATCATTATCCATAGCATAAACCTTCCCCTCCAGTGATACACTTGACGCCATCATCGGTTTAGTATCCACTTTCTCGTCAGGGACAGGGACTCCTACAACTTTCCAAGTTTGCGTTTCTAGGTCGTAAACCTGCTCTTCGGTCTCATCTTGTATCAAGTCTTGGATTACATATATCTTTCCGCCGAATACTCCCACGGCGTTGCTGGACGCAATTCGTCGGGACTCCGGCTTGATCGGGCCCTGACGTAACTTGCCAGACCGGGTATCAAGGATCCACAGCTCGGTCGGGTTTGGACGTCCGCCCACAAAGTATATCTCTGAATCCACCGCGACCGTGGAAGATCGGAACATGAAACAATGACTAGGGAACGAGATCGGGACCAATTGATACCCCGTTGTCCTCGTTGGACGGAGAGTGAACCAAAGATAGGTGGCATCAGTAGAATAATTCTCCCTATCGCAGAAGCAGACGTAGACGGAATCCTTGTGGAGGAGGGATCGCATCCGGTAGAGCTCAGGCGTGCGCACAAGGGACCTGAGCCTTCTCGAGACGCAAGCGACGTTTTCGTAGTACCGTCTCGGGACGCGGACTAAGCAGTTCAGAACCATCTCGTCGGGCAAACAAGAAAGGGATGACCACGACGATACGTTTCTAGCCATTGATCAAACGTCTTTTCAGATTTTCTTTTTTGACTATATAAGTTAGAGAAACTAAATCTTCTAGGTCTGCGCAGGGTTAATACCTTTTTTTTTTTTTTAAGAAAGAAAGATAGTTTTGGATCTAGTTCTAATAGAATTGGAAGTAATTAGTTGCAAATTTAAGGAAACTTTAATATTTGTAGTTTTACTTTCTTAGGCCACTTATGGCAAAAGCACACGAACAGAACCAACTCGCAAGAGAGACCTGAAACATGCATACGCAACAAGATTAAATTTATTCTCTTGGTTACAGCATGTGTTTAGGACAGCCTGTATCCATCCTGCAAGGAATGGTAGCTGATGATGATGTTTGGTCTTAAGGGGTAACTTACTTCCAAGTTTTATAGTCAAATTTATATTGTACTACAAGAACTGACAAGATCAAGTTATGCAAAATGGTCCCAATATTTGATGATCCAATGAGACTACCAGACTGGGTGTAGAGGGGTGGTGGGCAAGATTACCCAAGTAGGGGCCCTAGGTAGGTTACATGCCCTGTCAGTAAGCGTAACCAAGAGACAAATTTTTACCTTTTATGCAACAAATCATGGCAGGGAGATTCGGGATGTCAACAATTAACCTACCATAAAAAAGATGGGAAATAGAAGTTAGAACTACTTTTCTAGTAACTTTCACACTGTTGTATAATATGAAAATAAAATGCCACAGATCTTAATTTGGAGCAAGAGACGAAGAGTAATGGTCATAAAAGCTATATAGTGAACACAAGCATATGACTATCCTGCCCAAAACCTTTCCTTTAAATTCCCCTCTCTACCTATAATTCCTCCATATCATCCCTCATATCTGTCTTCGCAATTTCTCTCAAGAAAGTAGAAATGGCATTGAACTCAACCTTGGGTAAACGAAACAGCAAGAGTTTCCTCAGAATCTTCATGATTTTGGTTCTAAGCTTTATACCAGGTAGAACCAATCTTTGTCCCAATCATTCTGTTAGTACCCAATAGATTTCCCTCCTTCGAATCCTTCAGATATTCGCTCCACAAGCTGTATACCTGCTCAGTTCAGTGTCCCGTATGTTCAACAAATTTGCCACATTTGCAAGAACTTGAGCTGAAGAGACCACATTTGACGGTAAGCTCTCTTGTGACATTCCTGCACTCTCCAATATCTCTCTAACCCTGCGTTCAAGCATATGGAACCCCAAATCAACAACATCTACCAGCTATAGATTTGTCATTTCATGCTCTATTTCTATTGTAGTAAAAAGACCACCTATGCATTTCTATAGGAGTAAACACACTGAAGACTTCAATAGTCTTTGACACTAAAATAAGAGTGCAGACAAGTGTGAAAACATGCACCACACTCTTGTAACTTGCAACAAAGAAAGATTATATAAACAAAACAGTGGACATATAACGTATTTCACATATTGAATCAGGGAAAGGAGAATTTGTGACCTGTTCTGAGAAATTCTGCCTTGGACAGTTTGGCAGATGGTAAAGTTCCATCCTGAGCATGGCTATTGGAATACATAAATAGTCAGAATAGTGAAATGACTTTTAATAGGTGAAGTGGATCAGGGCACTTACTCTATTCAGACTTTTCTGCATTCTCAAGGGATCAAGAAAATTTGATTTTGAAGGAGAATGCTTTTGTGGAAGGATTTGTGCGTGATAATAGATAGAACAGAACTCCTCAATAACTGGTGGCTGTCGTCATTCAGCCCCAACGATTCTACACAGACAAGCCAATTCAAGTCTGATTTGAAAAGTTGAAAACTCATTGTTGTCTAGAAGTGGCAAAATAATTCAACTCAGAAGAAGCTAACTCTGTGAATCAGGGAAGAAGTGAAGGCAATTTATCATCAGCCTTAACTTATATAGAGAGAATCACTATACTCCTCTCTAAATCAAACCGTCCGGTTTGTAATGGTTTCCCTGCAAGAAACCGAGAAGTTACTATCAGAGTTATATTCCATCATCTTTGTTCTTATCTGAAGTGGCATATATTAAACACTTGTTTTTTATTGCAGGTGGAACAAACATGCATCTTTGGTTACTCCAAATGAAGTACCTTTTTGAAATTCCTTGGAAAGAAATGGTCAAAAGGTAACAGAAACCAACTAGTGTGGAGCAGAAAACATCAATTTAAGCAAATAATTCCAATGATTCTGAAACATAAAATTACTAACCTATCCAACATATTTTTTGTTGCAGGTGAGGTGGAACAAACATACATCTTTGATAACCCCAAAAGAAGATATCTTCTATCTTGTGGCATTTCTCCCCTCTGCAGTGCCAAATTCCTCTGGTAAAAATGATTTAGAGTACCTTTTGAAACAAAATCAAAGAGTTATTAACTTGTGTGCAGCCGTATTTGCCCCATTATAAAAACTCAATAGGAGTAAAAATCACACTTTGGCAACTTGGATCTATAAAATCCTACAAACAAATTGTCCCAAATATAAGAGTATATACCAAAAACTCTATGACATTCAGAAATAAGACCACCATTGCAAAAGCATTGTTCCTCCTAGTCCCGAAATAACTGGAGCTTAATCTCTAGTATTAGCATAAGACAAAAAAAAAAAAAAAAAAAAAACTATATAATAATAAAAAAAGTTACATTAGGAAGAATCGAACCGGAGAGGTTTTGACGTGAACTTAGTTATAACTACCACTGCACTAAAGAACTTCCACTACTCCCTCTATATATTGAGGTATTCTTAAATACATTTCCCTCTCTCTCTCTCCATCTTCTGCTTCACTGAGAAAGAAAAAATGGCTTCCGATGAAGAAATTCTCCAATCGAGGATCGAGAAGCTGAAGGAACAGCTCCACAAATTTGGATCCGATTATGGCCTCGAAGGAACAGTTCTCTGTCAGTCGTTGAATCAATCAGCTACTCAAGTTGCTTTTGCCTTTCCAAGGTAACAAAACTCCTCCGATTTCCAGAATTCTAGGTCACATAGCTCTCTCAACATTGATGTTCGCCGTGATTCTTGAGATCCGATTTCCAGAATTCTAGGTCATATAGCTCTCTCAGCATTGATCTTCGACGTGATTCTTGAGATCCGATTTCATTTTGCTCAACAAAATTCTAGTTTCTCGAGGTTTTCGTTTAGAAATTGTCATAGAGATGTTGTTCGATCGTAACTGCGAACGAATTCTACATTGTTCCATGGATCGTATATTGTTTTGTTAAGATTCAGATAACGTGATTCTTGAGATCCGATTTCACGAAATTCAACTTTGTCGAGGATTTTTGTCTAGGTTTTTGTTTCGAAATCGTCAATTATAGAGATGTTCGATAGTAGCTGCAAACGAATTCTACATGTTTCTACATGATCACATTAAGCTGTCTATATTCTTTCGATTTGGTATTTGTTTTAAGTTATAAGTAGATGTTTGTAATTGTTATCACAGTATGTTCTAACTAAGTGTTGTGTTCTATTCATTGTGCAGCATTGAAAAGAAAGTGAACTATGCCAAGATTGTTTTCTCTGGTAAGGAAACTTATGTGTATGAAGCTGATAAAGATGATGAGAACCACAGCAAACAAGCTACTGACAAGGAGAATGTTGATCTGGTTCTGAAACAAATTGAGGAGGCCAAATGGATTGCTAGTGGTCTAGGGTTCGAAAATCTGATTGAATACGAAAGAAGTAGAATTCCCAATATGAATCTAGCTGAACTCCGCGGTCTCCTTAGTCTACTAAGCTCACTAATAAAAGAAGCTACAGCTGAAACTAAGATCCGTACTGAAGAACTGAAAAGACAAACTGAAAAACTGAAAAGACAAACTGAACCCAGAAGATGATCTCCAAACTAGAGTTTTAAGAACCCCTCTTCACTCTCCACTGCTACTTGGTTCCACTTTTCCCCTCTTCACTCTCCATTGTTAAACAACTTGTCACTTTAGGTTTGTACTTATGAATTTCTGTTGGTGATGTTTGTATGTGTTTCTCAGCCTCTCAAACATTTTCTACCAAATAGCTGAAAACAGAATATTTTCCGGTTTTATATCGATCACTCATTGTTTGTCTCAAGGGCTGATTGTAATACTTCTTCTAGATACTTTTCCGAGGCTGCAAACTGTCTTTTCTTGTCTTCGATTGCTAGTGCAGCCAGAGCTTTGTCCTGTTTACAGAAATGAACAAGCAATCTACTGTGAACCAGGACTAGCAATGACCAATAACAAAGAGGAGATTGATAATGCAGATCAATGAGTTTTACAAAGGCTTGGAGAACCAGAGATGAAGATTACCGGAGGTAAATCCTGGTAGCTTCTTAGAGTATCAAGGACGGGTTTTGTCATCTTGTCCAATTCCTTCCGGTGCTCTGCCATTTCTACCAGCTCTCTGTGGCTGATCTTAGGAGTGTAGCCAACACGATTGAGTAACATCTGCTACCAAAACCATTCATTTTGACTCTGTCAGATTGTTTAAAGGTGACAAATTATCCATTTAATCACAACAAACCACTAAAGCACATTAGCCTCCAAAAACTCACATTTTGCTGAAGTATTAACCATTTTTCTGCATCGTACGATAATGATACTTACCTAGCGAACATCATCACTGCAGTTCTTATACGATCTAGATCTTTATCAGCGTGTGAGTTTATGATATTACAAACTTAAAATAACTTTAGCCCTAGGATCAAATCCTCAATTACTAGCAACCCTTACTAATCCATCCTGTTTCGGCACCCTAAGAGTTTGTTCCAGTTTTTACATAAAAGTATATGATTCTCAAATACACCTCACCAGATCTAGTTGCAGAAAGGTATCTGATTCTCAGTTTAACTATTACCAAATGAGAATGTAAAAACTAAAAGAAGAAGGCGTCTACCTCATACTTCTTGTACTGCTGTATGTATTGTTCCTCTTTCACCGCCATTACTTCCAAATTTGTTTTCCAGTTCTCCATCTGTGATTCACAAGGGACTACATCGTCTTCTAGCTGCGCAAGGATTCTGTAACAGCACACACAGATAAAGTAAGATAAATATCTTCTTAAAGGAAAATTTAATCTCATTAACAGAGAGAGCACATTAAAATTTCAATCTAGATGTTGCTGTATTATGAATCTTACTTCTTCAAATACGTCAGCCTCTGTATAGCTTTCCTTGTATAGTCAAGAAGAGCATTGGACTCCTTTTGTGCTTTAGCCCTTTTCTCTTCCACTCCAGTCTTCCTCAGAGAAATGTCTCCCATTGCTACAAGGAAACTATACACATTTCTTCTGCATCAATTTCACAATTCGAGATAGCAACACATCTAATAAGAGAGCTAACAGTACAGTCACCTGCTCAGTTCAGTGTCCCGTATGTTCAACAAATTTGCCACATTTGCAAGAACTTGAGCTGAAGAGACCACATTTGACGGTAAACTCTCTTGTGACATTCCTGCACTCTCCAATATCTCTCTAATCCTAGCCGCTACATCAACAAAATTTCCACCCAGAGATTTTAGAAAACACACCCAATAAACAGAGAGAAACTGGGAAATTTCCAAAAAAAACCAACTTTGTTCCAAATCATAGAGATAACGTAATCAAGAACAACATTAGCATAGTAACAGATCAGAAACTGATAATGCCCAAAACAAGATTCATAATTCGAAGCAGCCATGCGAGCAAATTAGGAGCTAAAGCAAGTACCTTGAGCACGATATTCTGAAGCTTTCAGACGAAAATCGTTGGCGACAATGGTGGCAGCTTGAGACTTAGCTTGAGAAGCGGTGGCGAGATTATACAGATGGGTAATGCTTCGATGAGTGTACTCGAAATTGGGGACTTCTTTGCCGGCGGCTTCGAACTGAGAGGTGAGCCACGCTTTCACCTCCGAGATCCGGGCGGCGTCAGAACCTCCCTTGGCTTCACTCACCGCCGCGAGATCACCGGTGACGTCGCTCATCGTCTCTAATCCAATTGGGGGAAAAAATTCACACACCCAGAAAAAGTGGTGTCTTGATTCAGACTGTATCGGATCAAACGAAGAAGAAAACAATTGAAATGGAGTGATTTAAACAGGAAGAAATCAGTTGCAAATTTGAAATTTTTAGGCGATGCGATCGCGTTTGATGGAACCCTAAATTTTCCAGATTTGGGAAAGATAATCAGAGCGATGTTATTGGCGGATTTTGAATATAGCAGTTAATTTTAAAAAGGGCCCTTCTTATCATTTAAAAAAAAAAAATGAAGATGGGAAAATCACCATTAGCCAAAAATATTACTTGTGACTGTGACACTTCTGAGAAGTGAGAACTAACAATTAACAACAAATCTCAAATCTTTAATGCTCTTCTCCAATGGTGCATCTTACACCATATCTTAACTTAATATCTTAGGTTTAAACATTCAAAATTAAATCAAAAATGATTAAAATGCTAAGAAGTGAATCTTAGCTTAGATGTTTTATGTGTGTTAAGAAGCGTCGACGTGTAGCAAGATTGGTCGATAGTAAAGACAAAACCAAAAAGAAAAAAATTCACGCGTGTTTTCTTTTTTTCTTCCCAGTTCATCGTTTCTCTCTCTCTCGCTCTCGCTCTCTCGCGACATGCAACAAAGAACTGCGAAATCTCTTCGCTCACAATCCTGAATCTGCTCCTGCTATTGCTCTTAATGCTCAGATCGAGAAAACCAAACGCAGGTTCGTCTTCGATTTTGATTTTTTCGTTAAAACAGAGCTTTCCTCTAAATCGAAATTAGGGTTTTCTGAAATTGGGGATTCGGTGTTATCAATTCTTTTCTTATCCTTCCCTTCCTCCGCCAGATTCCTTTCATGCGAAGATGAGCATAAAACATCTGCTTTTGGTTTTGACGATTGTCTCTGCATATTAATTTGATTGTTTGAATGTTTGTGACTTTTAATAGCTATTGTATTTATCATGATTTGATTTGTGTGTTTGCTGCAGAACAAGTTGCAGAATTTGGCTGCTACTTAGGTGAATAATATTTGCATCAAATATGAGTCTACATAGAATTCGTGGCTTCTGACTGTGCTTGGAGCATCTCTGCTTTGAGAGTTTTATTGAAGTGGTCAAATATCTGTTGACATTATGCTTTTGGTTTTGAGTATGTATATTTAGGTGATGTTTATTCAAAGTTCTCTCTTTTTAATTTAGTTCAAGAGATAATGTTTGTTAGTCTTAACTTATTCTTTGGATTCTTGTGGTTGAAGGTTATATACACTAGGGAAACTGACCAGAGTCGTGGGTTTGGATTCTTGGTAACTTTGTGTTTTTCCAAGTGTCTATTTGGTGTTCTCTGCTCAAGTAGCTTACCAAATCTATGATTCTCTTCACTACCATGCTTTTGAACAGCACTAGAAACTGGAGTTTGTGTATAACGATTCACTCGTTTGTTGTGTAAACTCTTTTTCGGTGTTGGTGTTAGGTTCTCTGGTTATATAGGAACATTTCAAAGTCACCTTATTGGAGATTAAGGTGATCAGCAATTGCTCAAGCTCATGACTCTTTGTTGAGAAATGCATTGAAGGGAGAGGTATATAAAGCTTTATAGCTTCCATTATCTCATCAATGGTTTTGTTGTGTTTGTTAGCTCACAACAGGTAGTCTTGATCCTACCATATCTTTGTGAGCTTATACTATGTTATGTTATCTTTTATGTAAAAGCTCCTTTATTTTCTCTTAGGCTGAGAAGCTTGGAAGGAGAAGAGAAGTAGCAAACATAGTGTTCGATTTTTCTGTTAGGACAGCAACAACTTATACACCTCAACAACAGTTTTGGGATATGGATAGTGTTGACCTCTAAAGTTCAAATGCAAATGTTGTAATGTGTTTTATTGATGGTTTGCTTGTACTATAAGATATTGTTTTGCAACAATTTGAATTTTTTTTTCTTAAGAACCCATTGCTTCTTAACCATTGGAGTAGAAAATAACTAAGATACTATCTAACTTTTCTTAACTAACAAAATTCAAAATTTTAATTTAAAATAATGTTAAGATCCAAGGTTAAGAACCAATTGGTAATGGTTTGGAATTTTGGATTTCAATTAATCTTTGGAAGAATTAATTGGTAACCTGTAAAATGACAAATGACAAAACGATTTCGTGATATTTATCATTAATCACATCTATGTGGAATCATTATCTAAATAATTTGAGATTGAAAAACAAAATGTCTTAATGCGTAGATGATTATAACACTTGTCTTAATTGATTTGTTTGTGTGTGTCTTGTTTTCTAATCTTCTAGTCTTAAAGTATAGTCAATAAATAGTTTAATACTTCTATAGTAATAATGGTAATAAATTGCTTTGTTTATTGACGTCACACGCCAGTATTTTTATGTATAAAAATGTGAAGCAAATACACAATTTGGTCCAACAGTAAACCAACTCCTCTGTCTCTCTCTCATTTGTTCTTGAATTTTTCATCTTAAGCGTAATTTTCCTTGTATATCCTATCTGATTAATTCTTTCCATCAAAAATTTTAGTTTTGAACCACATGGGCTCAAGTTTGTGCTGTTCTCGCGATCCAGATACCACCAGAAGTAGTACGATGGGGAACACGAGCGACCGGAGGTGGCAAACCGGCGACGACAACTATCTATCGGACACAAGCACCTTCTCCGTGAAGGAGCAAGAGCATCAGCTTAAGGCTGCCAGATTGGAGGAGCAAAGACTTGGCCGTGAAGCTGAGAAAGTCAACACATGGGTCAAACATGAATCAGCCAGATTCGACCATCGTCCATAGTTGACCATTGCTTTGATTTGACCAAGCTTTCCTATGTTTTTGTAAACTATCAAACAGAGTTGTGTATAATATATACCACACATTAATAGTTATCAAAATTTTATGGTTTAGAGACCACAAGGAAACACAAAGTTTACAGGTTTTTACATCAAAACATGATACAGATTAGTTGCTACAAACAATTAGTTACATGACGCATCGGTATGTAACATGCGACTCACTGAGCTCGTCTTTGTATGTGACCTTCATGACTTGCCCTGTCTCTAGTCCATAGTATCGCACAATCGGGTCTTTGCTCGATAACCGAGGAAGCTAACAAAAAAATAAACGTTTTAACTCAGAGAAAAGCTGGCTCAGAGTTCCTAGCAATAATCCAAGTACAAAAAAACTTGCTTACTTGTTTCTCCTCGATACTGTATTTCTTGAGAAGTGATTCCTTCTCCTTATCATTCAGAACCTGATGTTTTGGCCTCAAGACATGTTTGGTTACGTTAACCAGCAAATCGGTTATCTAAAAACACAACAAGCAGCAACCAAGATGATATGAACCAAATGTGAGAACACATAACCTAACACGGTACTCAAGATAAAGATACATACCTCGAATAACTCGACCTTAAACGAGAAAAGTTCAACGGCTTTAAGAGCTTGATTTGTTATATGGCTTTGCAAAACCAGTATCAGTCCGGTTATACTTTCTCGGTTCAGTACATCTGCTGCAATGGCGCGCATGGCATTGACTTTAACCATACCAGTTCCACAAAACACAACCATAATCTGAAATTCAAATCAGAGAAATTTCTCTGTGCTTGTGAATTTAATGACAACAGCAAACAAAGATAAGACTTGTTAAGGAAACACCCTCTCTGAAGAGCTCTTTTGCAGTTAGGAGGCCTAAGCCAAGAACAGAGAAGAATGTCAAAAATTATTTATTGGAACTCTTAACCTTACAAATGTTACTCGGTAATTACACACTAACTAACTGATTAATGCTAAGTAACTCAATTACCTAACCATTTACCATTATTATCTAACCAAACTTAAACCAGTCGAACCATTTAGATTTTTGCCAGAAAAGACAACGTTTCTGTTTCAAAAACAGAGGAATCAGATGAAAGCAAACCTAACTATAGGAAACAAGCTGTATATCAGAGGAAGTCTTTAAAAGTAGAATCCTTTCTTCAGAAAAATTGTATACTACATAACAATTGAATCAAATCAATGGAAAACACTTCAAACTTTTCAAAAGCTAGGCAGAAAAATCAACATGCAGAGAAAGAAAACCACCAGAAATGGAAATCACATTCGTATTCGTATTGAATTTAAAATAACCTTTTTCGAAGAATCAAAGCGATGCTTGGCAGAGATACGAAGTCGATCTACGTCAAGGCGTTCGCCGTAGAGCGCTCGGAATTGCTCGAGGGAGAAGTTAACATCTTCGTCGGAGACATCGTATCCTCTGTCTCGGAGCATCTCCATGGTTGTTCGACGTGCCAGGTAATATTTGTGACATTCCACACTTGGTTTATCAATGGACTGTACAACCGCTATCTCCTTCCCTTTCCCCACCATCGTCTCTCTCGGTCTCGGGGAAGGAAGCAAAGCTTGAGTAGAGTGAAGGGATTGAAAGATGACAAGACCCGTTGTCGTTTTGAATAATCAGTTTACCCGTGACGTTCTTACGGTGACAGCGTATAAAGTTTGCAACAGACTTGGATGGTAGCCAATGAGCAGGCAGGTGATGTAATCAAAGGCGATTGTGCTGTAACTTTAGTGCCCTTTAGTGACACTGGTTTTGGGGAAATCCAATTAGATTTCTATAACGATAAGAAAAGCTATACTAAAATAGTTAGAAGAAATGCGATAGTAGCTAATGTTAAAAGACAATTACAAGTGGAATGTGTTGGTAACATTTTCGTTTACCGCTAATTCCTTTTATTTTGTGATTTGTAACAATCAAAACGGTGTTCAATCAAATGTGACATAAATTTGTGAACAAGACAGACTAATAAGACCAAAAGGCCAAAACAAAACAGAGTACACTCTACTTTTTCAGTTTGCATATCCATCTGAAAAAATGGTTTGATAAAAAATATCTGAAAAAGGTCAAGTTATTATTTTGTTTTACATAAACTAGGAGCTTCCAAGTTCCAACAATGGTATTTTCTTAATCCATCTCCAATTGTCAAGTCAAATGTTCAGAACCTTCCTCTCATTCACTTGTGGTAATGACCATGTTTCAGGAAACATATACAAGGCGTATAAGAACAACTTGCTTAGCTTCAGGTTATGTTTTTTTAAAAGAAACTCTTTTTGTTTATCAAACAATCTCATTTAACATTTGAGACTTTTCTCTTAAGGTGGAATTGTCATAAACATGGTTGTTGGACTTTTTCATCTCTTCTAAGATAACAGGCAGCTTCATGAACATGTGAGAGACTCTCTCCTTGGTTGAATCCATCTCAGCCTTGATAGACTCAATATCATCTTCATTCTTCGATATCAAGTTTTTGAAGACAGAACGTAAACAGAGAGAGAATGACAAAAAAGCTTTTAGCTTGTATATCTCAAGACTGCATCTTTTCTCATTAGTTAAGTTCAGGAGTACAATGCCTTACTTATATATAAAAGAGAGACAAAGGAGATTAGGGTTTTAGGAGTGCCAGCTCACTGATCCATATCCTTGAGAGAACTATATCTGTTTGTGAGCTGGATTGAACTAGGAGACAAAACTGTACTTGTTGTTGCAGAGGGAGCTCTGTTCTTGGTCAACATTACCGTTGGATTTGTTGACTGATCTTTGGGCTTCATGGGCCTTGCATTCTGATGGGTTTGTGTTATATTCTTTACATTCCCGCGCAAACTTGAGGTGGGAGAACGCCCAACTCCAAGTTTGAACCTGAGAGAGCAAAAACTATGTGGTGGCAGAGACTTTGTAAAGATGTCGGCCAGTTGATGCGCAGCTGGAACATGTTTTACCACAAGGGATCCATCTGCAACCTTTTCTCTAGCATAGTGGAAATGAGTTTCGAAATGTTTTGACCGTCTGTGTAACACCGGATTGGCTGTGAGATACACTGCTGACAGATTATCACAATATATCTCTGCAGGTCTGTCTTGTTGAATACCAATGTCTTTCAGAAGTGATGTGATCCAAGACAATTCTGCTGCTGTGTCTGATAGAGCTCGATATTCAGCCTCTGTAGATGATCTTGCAACTGAATCCTGACGTTTTGCAGACCATGATATGAGATTCAAGCCTAGAAAGGTACAGAAACCTCCAGTGGACCGACGAGTGTCTGTACATCCTGCGTGATCACTGTCACTATAGGCTCTTAAGACTGAGTCTGTATCATTACTCAGAGTCAGCCCCATATCAATGGTTCCTTTTAGATACCTTAGTGTTCTTTTAAGGAGAGCAAAGTCTGATACTGATGGCTTGTGCATTTTCTGACAAATGTAATTGACTGCAAATTGCATGTCTGGTCTTGTGAGAGTTAAATATTGTAGCTTCCCTGCAAGAGACCTGAAGTAAGAAGGGTCTTCAAATTCTACATCTTGATTGGGCATTCTATGCAGTTGGATGGGTAGAGGAGTGGGCATAGGAGCACAATTCAACATTCCTGCATTTTCAAGTAAGTCTCTAGCATACTTTTCTTGATTTAAAAACAGACCTTCTGGAGTGAATGTTGCTTGGATCCCGAGAAAATATTCCATGTCTCCCATATCTTTCATTCTGAATTCCTTCCTTAGAGAGATCAAGAGATCATTGATTAGAGCTTTGTCATTCCCTGTGAGGACCATATCATCAACGTAGAGCAACAAGAGCATGATACTTCTGTTTCGTCGATAAACAAACAAAGATGGATCTCTTGGGCTGCAGATAAAACCAAATTTCAGCAAGTATGAGCTAAATTTATCAAACCAAGCACGAGGGGCTTGTTTTAGGCCATAAATAGCCTTGTGGAGTCTGCAAACATAGTCCGGGTGAGTTTTATCTTCAAAGCCAGGCGGCTGTCTCATATACACCGTCTCTTGTAAGTCGCCGTGAAGGAAAGCATTCTTCACATCAAGTTTCTTAATGTCCCATTTCTCCACTGTTGCCACATGAAGGATCATCCTTACAGTTGGAGTCCTTACAACAGGGCTAAAAGTTTCAAGAAAATCAACTCCTTCCTCTTGTTCATAGCCTTTTGCTACTAGACGAGCCCGGAGTTTGTCTAGTGTACCATCAGCTTTAATCTTAGTCTTAAACACCCATTTGGAGCCTAATACATTTGCATTTGCAGGAGCGGGTTCAAGACTCCAAGTTTTGGTTTCATGACAAGTGTCTATTTCTTCAACCATGGCTCCATTCCAGCCATCATGCTTTAGTACTGCAGTGATGGTTTTAGGTTCTTCAGGAAGACCAGTATTGGCAAGAAGAATGTACCTCGGGTTAGGTTTCACAATTCCGGATTTAGCTCTGGTGGTCATTTGATGAGCATTGCTGGTAGCATTTTGCGGAGACCCTAAAGGAGGGAAGTCTTCTTCTGTAAATAATGCTGAGTCTACAGATGAGGACGATGCCACTGTTGAATTTTCCTCTGTACTTGAGCCTGTTGCAGAATTTGACGTCTCAGGTTGCGATATAGGTGTGGGCTCAGTTGCTTCTGCGACAGTTTGATTCAGAACTAGTGGAGCTTGAGTGTGTGGAGTAGTGACTGCTTCAGTTCTGTTTTGTGAGATAGAAGACTGGACAGGGACTTCCACATCATAATTTTGTTCAGATGAACTTTGCTGCCAGGCTGATAACAGAGGAGTTGTAGCAGGTGGCAGAAAGGATCTGTAAGTATCCTTATATGGGAATCTTGCTTCATCAAAGAGAACATGCCTGCTAATGTAGACACGTCTAGTAGGTGGGTGAAAGCACCTGTACCCTTTGTATTTTTCATTGTATCCCACAAAGACACACAATAAGGATTTTGGATCGAGCTTGTTCTGAGCATAAGGTCGCAAATAAGGATAGCACGCGCAGCCAAAAACTCTTAAGGCAGTATATATTGGTGCTTTGTTGTTCAACATCTGATATGGGCTTATCATTGAGTCATGAACAGATGTTGGTAAGAGATTGCTCAGAAAATTTGCTGTAAATAGAGCTTCCACCCAGAGATGCTGTGGAAGATGGCCCTGAAATAGCATGGAGAGCCCTAGTTCAGTAATATGTTTATGTTTCCTCTCAGCAAGACCGTTTTGCTGTGGAGTATGTGGACAAGAGATGAGATGTTTGATCCCACACTGTGCAAAATGATCCAGGAATTGTTTGTTGACAAATTCTCCACCACCATCACTCTGAAACATTTTTATTCTCTGACCATATTGAGTCTCCACCAGCTTTTGAAAGGTTTTGAATATGGAAACAACATCAGACTTCAACTTTAGAGGATAAAACTAACTAAAACGAGAATAATTGTCAATGAAAACAACGTAATAACGAAATCCTTGGACTGACTTGACAGGAGAAGGACCCCATACATCACAATGCACTCTTTCAAGAGGCTTAGTAGCTTCAAAAACAGACTTAGAAAGGAAGTTTGCAGACTTTTCCTAACTGACAGGACTCACACATGGCCAATGTGTTTTTATTGACTGAAATAGCTTTGATAGACGACAGATGCTGAAGAACTTGATGGTGAGGATGCCCCAATCTTCTGTGCCAAGTCTCATCACTGGTACTCTGCTGCCTGGATGAGTAAAAAGCCGTAAACTGGGGATTCTCCAACCGATACAACCCTTCATGTTTGCTTCCCCGACTTAGAATTTGCTTTGTCTGTTTGTCCTTGATGTACACAGAGTTAGAATCAAAGATGAATTTACAAGGGTAATCATCAGTTAATTTAGACACAGAGAGTAGAGATTTAGTAATCTCTGGGCACACAAGAACATCTTTTAGTTGTAGATTACCTGACATTGCTGGTAAGGGAATAGATCCAATGTGAGTAATGGGAAGGAAATCTCCATTACCAACAACTATCGCATCAGACCCCTCATAGTTTTGTACCTGATGCAGATTGTTTGGAGAATTTGTGACATGATATGTTGCAGCTGAGTCTGTAATCCATTCTCTGCCTCCATATTCTGTGTGATCAGACACTCTCATTGCAGCTAAAGCTTGAGGTAGTTCTTCTGGCTGGTAGTGCTGATCAAACCGTTTATAACACTTAGATGCTGCATGACCATACTTTCCAAATATTTGGCAGGTTGGTCTTGAATCAGTGTAGGCGCCACCACCAGAGAATGAACCACGACCACTGTTGTTGCCAAATTATTGGTAGAATCCTCTGCCTTGTGTGGAGTAGGAGTTTCTACCTCTGTAGCCACCTCTGTTCTGACCTCTTCCACGGTTAGAGTAACCGCCTCTATCAGTAAAGAAAGCTTGATGTGGAGTCACTTCAGGTAAAGAGTCATATTGCTGAAGTTTATCGTCAAATCCAGTGAGCTTAAAGAACACATCTTCAAGACATGGTCCAGGAAAGTGGTCCATAGAGTTTTCAATCACAGCACAAACAGGCTGATATTCCCTTCCTAAACCATTCAGAACACCATAAATCCTTTCATGTTCAGAGAGAGGAGAACCAATAGAGTCCAGTTGGTCACAAATGGTTTTCATTTCAGACAAGTACTCAGACATAGATCTGTCTCCTTTCTTGGTTCCTTGCATTTTTCGCTGCAGATCTAGCTTTCTAGTGGCCGAAACCCTATTATACTTCTTGGAGAGGGAGAACCATACCTCATGTGACGATCTAAGGCCATAGACAGCCTTGAGAGCTTCCTCAGACAGAGATCCATAGAGCCAAGCCATCACATGTTGATCTTTTTGAAGCCACTTCAAGTACTCGGGGTTTGGAGCTTCAGTATTCTGGTCGCCGTTGGTAACCATGACTGTCATAGGCGGACGCAGAGCAGCTCCGGTAACAAAACCCAAAAGCATCTGACTTGAGAGAAATTGCTCGAACTGAAGTTTCCATAGCAGATAGTTGTCATCTTTGAGTTTGAGAGTTACACATTGATTGATAGTGAAAGTTGAAGGTGAGAAAGGATCGTTTTGAGCCTCCATAGCTCTGATACCATGAAGACAGAACGTAAACAGAGAGAGAATGACAAAAAAGCTTTTAGCTTGTATATCTCAAGACTGCATCTTTTCTCATTAGTTAAGTTCAGGAGTACAATGCCTTACTTATATATAAAAGAGAGACAAAGGAGATTAGGGTTTTAGGAGTGCCAGCTCACTGATCCATATCCTTGAGAGAACTATATCTGTTTGTGAGCTGGATTGAACTAGGAGACAAAACTGTACTTGTTGTTGCAGAGGGAGCTCTGTTCTTGGTCAACATTACCGTTTGATTTGTTGACTGATTTTTGGGCTTCATGGGCCTTGCATTCTGATGGGTTTGTGTTATATTCTTTACAGTTTTTTGCTCGAGAAAAGGAAATAACTCAACACAGAAAAAAGGAAACAACAAATACTAATAAGATTTTTAGAAAAAAGGAAACAACACAGAAAAAAAGGAAACTTTGAATATCATAAGGAAACTATAAATAGAGAGTTTCGAGCCTTCTCTTCTCTCTAATCGTTTTTTCATCAAACAAACCAGAAAACCACAGAGATTGAGAAAGAGTTATAGAGTGAGAGAGATTAATTGACAATCGCCAATTGCTCTGATATTTTTTTATCATTCTCTTCTTCGATTCATGCTTCTATTTCATCTTTGAGTTCTTCCAATTTCATGATTTTCTATGGAAAATTCTTTGCCGTGATGGAAGAAGATGATGCTCTGATTCTTCTTCTCCCTTTGTCTCTCGATATCATCTCTCAGTCTCCGTCGTCGTCGGATCTTGTTTATACTATACTATCTATTCTTCGCTGCTCTGGTTGAGGAGGATCATGAGAAGCTTTTGCGTTCACGGTGGTGGAGAAGGTCTTGGATTGCAATCTGCCCAACAAAAAGCCCATTCACATGCCCATTAAAAAACAGAGGTCAATTTTTATCCTTTTTTTTTATTTTTAAATATTACAGCTTTTTTATTTATTCTTTCTCACAGATTTTCAATTTTTTTAAAAAACTTTCAATTTTTTTAAAAAACTTTCATTTTTTTTTGTTTAAATTTTTTTTTTACTTTTAAATGTTTTGGAATTTTAAATATTAGAAACTTAGATCCTAAATTTGCATAATGATACGGAAACTAACCGGATTTTGGATCCAGCATTAGTCGTTAGCGATTCCAAACATTCAACTCGTTTTCCTATTATTATGTAGATTTAGCATTCAATTTTTTAATTAGGATTTTTAAAAAAATAGTTTTTAAAATTTTGATTTTATTTTTTTCGGATTTTAAATTTTTTTCTTTTTCTTATGTTTGTTTTTAAAAAAAAATATTTGTTTGGATACTAAATTTGTATAATGATAGGAAAACTAACCGGATTTTGGATCCAGCATTAGTCGTTAGCGATTCCAAACATTCAACTCGTTTTTTCTATTATTATGTAGATTTAGCATTCAAATTTTTAATTTGGATTTTTAAAAAATATAGTTTTTAAAATTTTGATTTTGTTTCTTTCGGATTTTAAAAATCTTTTCTTTCTTATCTTTGTTTTTTAAAATTTTAATTTGTTTGGATACTAAATTTGCATAATGGTAGGAAAACTAACCGGATTTTGGATCCAGCATTAGTCGTTAGCGATTCCAAACATTCAACTCGTTTTTTCTATTATTATGTAGATTTGGCATTCAAGTTTTAATTCGGATTTTTAAAATTTTGATTTTGTTTTTTTTCGGATTTTAAAAATCTTTTCTTTCTTATGTTTGTTTTTAAAAAAAAAATTATTTGTTTGGATACTAAATTTGCATAATGGTAGGAAAACTAACCGGATTTTGGATCCAGCATTAGTCGGTAGCGATTTCAAACATTCAACTCGTTTTTTCTATTATTATGTAGATTTAGCATTCAAGTTTTAATTCGGATGTTTAAAATTCTGATTTTGTTTCTTTCAGATTTTAAAAATCTTTTCTTTCTTATGTTTGTTTTTTTTAAAAATTATTTGTTTGGATATTAAATTTGCATAATGATTGGAAAAACTAACCGGATTTTGGATTCATTAGTCGTTAGCGATTCCAAACATTCAACTTGTTTTTCCTATTATTATGTAGATATTTTCATTTTGTTTGGAAAAAAAACATCATGGTTATAAGATGTATATCACAAACATCAACGTAAAGAAACAATTGAGGCTTGAGACATTCTAGTTTTGAGCCTTAGGCCACTTCTTATATCAATATACAAGACAACAAACAAGTCATTCAAAGAACACAACCAACCAAACATATCTTAAGTCAAAAGTTATATCTTTAGATTCTTTTTCTTCTCTTCACATTTTCACATCAATCAAACGAATTAGCTAATGACAACACCTGTTACAACGTACCAATCCATTCTCATTGCATTCATTGCATCTCTTAAACCCATCTTCTTGTTCCTCAAACACTTTAGTACTACCACCACAATTAGTACACGGCACAAACCTTGCATCCCCGCAGCTTTCGCAGGCTCCCACGGATTCACAAGCAGGGAAATCTTTTAACATCTCTGCCAGTTCGCCTCCATCGTTGAGTATCTTGATCTCCTCAATTCCACCAATGCGGACACCTCTTATAAACACCTGAGGCAAACAAACCGGTTTCTCTTCACCGAGCGCATTCTGAAGCTCTTTTCTATATTCGGAATCCATTGAGATGTCGCGTTCCTCAACCGCAACCTGAAACCCTCTCAATATCGTTCTAACGCAACAACAATCTTCATACGTCTTTCGAATTCCTCTGAGGCTAGTGAAGTACAATACTATCTTGTTCTTGTTATCTTCTTTTTCAAGCAATCTTGGTTTCTCTTGGTCTTCCAAAGTCTGAGAAGTCAGTGGAGTCGAGGATACAGATTCTGGTAAAGTCGATTGATTTGAGTGGCTGCAAGAGAGGGCTTTCGGGCTTTTGTGACCATTACTAGTGTTTTTGCTTAGTTGCTTAGAAGACAATGCTTTCTTGTAAGATGAGATAATGTTAGGATCTAAATCAGAGAGAAATGATTCTTCAGACATATGTTTCCACAGAGGTTGCTTAGGTTTAAAAGGCAATAATCTCCAATCTTCCTCAGCTTCGTAAGATTCGTCCAATTTCAACGAAGACCCATTAATAAGCACGTCTCGATTCTTGATGGGTTTAGAAAAACAATCCAAATTTACGACGGAATTACGCTTACTTGTATCGGAATTCTCAGAATCGAGATCGTCGTCGAGGCCGTTCATGAGCTCCCATGTGTTGATCACTGAGTCAGGAGACAACGACTCGCGTGCCTCCTCTGTTTCAGGCATCTTCTTGTTATTCTTCCCGGTAACGGAGATATGAGGCAATGTTTGTCTGTCGGAAGCTCCGTCGAGGAGAAGAGAGCCGTAAGTGGTCGATGTAAGAGAGACGAAGTGGTGCGTGTCGCCTTTTTTAACCGGTGGATGATGAATCGACGGCATCGGAAATGTGAAAGCCTTAGGGACAGACGAAGACGGGATGTTGAATTCCGTCTCCGGAGGTAAATTCAACGAAGAAGATGAAGAAGCGGTTTTAGAAACAGAGGAACCCATAATTTTCGAAGCAGAACAGAGAAGAAGAACAAATGTAGTTTCTACACTCTTTTTCTGGGTTTCTTGTACTTTTTCTTTTGTCGGAGAATATAAAAGAAGAAAGAGAAAGACAGAGAGACAGAGAGAAGAAACAGGTGGAAAGGAGCTGTCTAAGTAAGTTAGAGGTGGAAGATGGTGAAAACACTAAATAAGACGATTGTGATGTTGATTCGTCGAGATCGAATTTGCTTTGATTTGATCATTAAGGAAAGTATCCATTTGATCCTAATTTTTAGAGCTTGTCTTGATAATAACTGAAACCAAAAAAGTAAACTGTCAAGATCCTCAAAAATTGCATATAACTTCCAAATGTGAACTATCCAATGACTTCCACTAACATTTTTTTTTAGGGAAATAAAAACAGAGCAAAATAATATCCAACCTTTTAGAAACTTAATTTATATAGAAGACAATGATACTTTGCTTAGTTACTGTACTTATTTATAATTTGGTACGTTAACAGAAAAAAACAGCATTAAAAATGTATAAAATTCAAAAATTTAAACACCGATTATAGAAAGAACTAAGATGACTAACTTGATATGTTTTGAATTTTGATCTAAAAAGAACGAAATTTCTTGGTTATTCAAAGTCAATAATCATTATGTAAATGTTGAAAATATGTTTACTATTGTCTAGAGAAATTGTGCTGTGCACTGATATTTTTTGTTATATGAGAATAAACATGAAACTGAATCGCACAAGGAACACTCATTGAAGATTCCTTTGGTACTTTGCCTTTTAGAAAGAGAAGCAAAACTATTTTTAATAACTGGAATAAATAAAGAAAATATCATCATCAAAAACAAAAGCAAGATGGGCAAAAGATGTTGTTTTAATTTCTTTTATGTATAAAAAGAAGGAAATCTTGGTAACTTATCCGTAAAGAAATTAAAGACGCCCAAGGCGCTAAATTTGTTTAGAATATTTCAGTATGTACACTTTTTGCTTTTACCAACTGAAAAAGGAAGTGAAATCTTTACTCATTTGCTTATAATTTCTTCATATCAAATTGATACAAGTTTCTGACATAACTCATTCTCAACTCTTGAAGCTGTGAGAACCAACACCAGAGATAATGATGATCTACAATTAATCTTGTAACATTTTAAGCTATTTGAATGATTCTCAACTATAATCAGCTGAATCTCTAGGAATGTAACTCATCAAATGGACGAATAAAGTCCAAATTCACATATCACTGAACACTGATCAAACTTTGAAAGTAGTTCAATTTTGGAAACCAGAACAGAAGCATCAATTGACACACACATTATTATATATTATTCTCTCAAATCAGCAGAAACACACAAACAAAATTGAGACGTATTATATATCAATGACCTATACATATATGTATCTACCTCCTCTATAAACCCCAAACACTTCAATCTTTTGGGACGATTCACACCGGAAAAAAAGAAGCTGAAAATCGAGGAGGAGGAAGGAGGTGATGAATGTATATTCGATCATGCGACATGTACAGGACCAACTTCTCGGTTTCTGAGTGAACCAGCAATCTCGTCGGCGATAGACAAACATGTTAAAATCCAGCCGCTCAGAGCAAACCACACCGTTTTCGTCAGAAGCATCGCCATTTCCAAAGGCATCGCCATTATCTCTGTCTCTCTCTCGGTTTCAGAAGCTCAATTCATTTAGCTGAAGAGAAGAAACCACTGGAAAATTGGGAGATCCAGTGGTGGTCATTTTACGGTGAAGCAGATGAAATATGAAAGAACAATCGGGCACGTGGGACACGCGAGGATCTTTCCAGCAATAATACATCGCCACGTGTTGATTCTGTTCACCAGCCGTGTCTCTTTCTGGCCAGATAGGACAGCGTTAGGGGACACGTCACTGTTCGACCAATAAAAGTGAAGATCCGACCCAAACTTTATCAACCCGACCCAGTAGTTGGTACTATAGTATTATGCAAATTTTATAGTTTTTTGTTTTTGTTTTTATAAACCAAAATTATTGTCATTTACTAGCTAGCTGACATTTCCCCAACGAACTAATAATTATTTCCTTATATTTGGACATAATTTTTGTTTTCTTTGGTATTTATAATTAAACTTTTTTTTTCCTATCGTTAGTTGATAGTACACAAAACAACAAAGATGGCATGAAAACAAGAAAAAGGAGGAGCACAATGAATATTACTCATGTGATAGGGAAATAATAATTAAGGTTATAAAAATCATTTCAAGAAATAATTTGATGCAGCAACATCATAGAAGCTTCCTTTTATCACTTATTTAGTTTTAGATAGTTCTTGGAATGTTTTCAACTCTATCCAGATTAGGGCTAATGATTTTGCTGTCTTTCAATTTAAACGTTGTGTTGTTTTCCAGTTTCGATTAAAAAAAAACGAGAGTAACCAAGAATTCAAGTTCATTTACATTTTGTTTTGTTTGACTTAGCTAAATTGTCTTTGATTTAAAGGTCTACGGAGTAGGTCGGCTTATTGGGCTCGAAAGGCAAATGGCCCGTTATCCTTTCTTGTGTGACTTCTTTAAGTCAATAATAGGTGCACAAAAAAAATATGAAAAAAGTGATGGTCCAATCGGAGTCGGCTTATTGGGTCATAGTGGGTTCGGAAGGCAATGGCCTGTAATCCTTCCACCGTCAAGAGCGGGAGGTGGACGATGCTCTTTGAAACCAGCCTCATGCAGTCTCCCCCCACTCTAGAAGACATGAGATCCAAGCCTTCGCTCAAAGTCCATACCTCGACTCCCAACTTGGAATGGGCGGGCCAGAACATAGCCTACCCCGAACCCGGCCCAATAAGATCGACCCAACGTCCCATCACCCTATTGTCTCCACTTGGATCACAAGCCCGAGTTACTGAGCTCGACGTGCAGTACTCGTTAACTTCCCTATTATATACAACAACAAAAAATTTTGTTCTTTCGATGTGCAACAAATAAATAGCTATCGTCGTTAATAGAGAGTTTCTGTTTCCAAAGGGAACAAATCAGAAAACTGTCATCTTCAATCTCAAGAATTAGATCTTTGGAGCTTGTTTGTATCAAAGGCCAACATTTTCGACCATTTCCAATTATGGGTTTAGGTATATGAACTTTCTCTTTGAAAGTTTCAGACAGATACTTGGTTATATGAGCTGAGATGAGAGAATTTTATAATTCGTTTGATGGTTCTTAAGCTAGTGAATGTAGCAAGATTATATATATAGTTGTTAGTTTTGATAAGATTCAATTCTAATTCTCGAAAAATCCGATCTTTGCAATAGTTTTGGATTATTAAGCTAGTAGCAAGAAACTTTCTAAAAATCTTGTGGGTTTATCACCCCATGAAAAAGAAAAAAAAAACTAAGAAAGCTAATCTAGAGGAGAGAAGTAAATTGACAGATAATAATAAATCCACTATTGTTTGCAAATTTCTTTTGTCATTTCACTCTGATATTGCTCCTCTGTTTCATAAGCCACGTCTTTCATGTTGCCTTTGGAGACCATGCTGGTTCTGAGCCATTGTTAATGTGCTATCACCTAAGTGAAAAGAGAGAACAACCAAGAAACAAGTAAGATAAGGGATGACAAAAGATATTTAAGGTATAGTAGTACAAACCAGATTTGTAGTGTTGGAAAGCTACTTACCACTATCTGAATGGTTTAAAGCTTCTAATTGAACAAGTATTCGATTCAGTGGATCTCCTTGTGTCTGGTTTGTCTCTTGTTCCTGATGATAAGGATGACGCTGTTGTTGCGGTATTACTCCTTGCAAGGCGTTGTTGTTTGCCTCATATTCAGGTGTTTACAGCTCGTTTAGTGAGAAGTTTGGTTGAAGCTCCAATGGCAGTTCGTATTCTCCATATTGGTCGTCTAGCAGGTGCTCGATTTGCGTCAGTAGTTCTGTTGTTGAAGGATCCATCGGCTGGAAATTTGGGACGCTATTTTTAATATCGTCTCCAAAACCATCTGTAAAATGGTCAAATGCCGCAGTAGGTGCCTTTGCAACGGTTGGAGTTTCAGAATCTGTGAGAAAAAAAAAAAGGAGAATGAATCATACAAATGCTTAAGCAGAAGAGTTAGGAATCAATGAGAAAGGAAGATTAAGTCTTTTCTTTACAAGCAAGATCATTAGATGTTGGGCATTGAGCAGTAACTGTTGGTGCAACGGCTGAATAGACAGGATCGTAATCTATGGAGAAAAAAAAAAGAGTGATTCATACAAATGATTCAATGTAAAAGGGTTTAAACTATGAAGGATAAAGAGAGAAAGGTTGAGTGTTTTCTTTATACGCAGGATCATTATCTGTCAACCGTTGATCATTAGTTGCTGGTGCATCGGTAGGAGCTCCAAGATTGGTACCTATGGAAAGAAAGTAGAGTAATTCACAAAAATGCTCAAGTAGAAGTGTTAAACAAATGAGAGATTAAAGATTGAGTGTTTTCATTATCTGTCAACCGTTGATCATTAGCTGCTGGTGGAACGGTAGGAGCTCCAAGATTGGTACCTATGGAGAAAGAAACTAGAGTTATTCATAAAAATGCTCAAGTAGAAGTGTTAAACAAATGATAGGTTAAGGAAGAAAAGATTGAGGGTTTTCTTTACAAGCATGATTATTTGGTGTAGACCATTGATTTTGATGAAAATTATTTTGCTGATCATTAGGAATCAGCAACCGGTTTACTACAAGACAGAGAAACCAAAGGAAGCTTTAGAAGTCAAAAGTGAAATAAATCGAGTTTTTGTCCAGCTGCAATCATGACTTAGAAGCTGTAAAATGCATTAGATATATAAAAAAAAAACAAATTCAATATTCAGAAAGAGAGAAAAGTTTGAGTTTTTTCTTTACAAGGTAGATGATTAGTTGTAGTAGACCATTGATAATGATGAAACTGATTTTGCTGATCATTAGGAATCTGCCACTGGTTTACTACAAAATAGAGAAACACATAAGGAATTCTTAGATGTCAAAAGTGCAAGAAATCGAGTTTTCGAGCATGACTCTAGTACCATATATGTATATCAGATTTTACCTATTGGACCATTTGTATCATCCAATACCAACATTGCCACGCTTGAACAACTCACCTCTAACCTATCAGCTACATAATGCAAAGAGTTATCAAACAAAACAAACCCAATTTTCAAAAAATTATTGAACTTTAGAGACATCATCAATCGAAAGATTTACAAGGTGTATCAGCTAGTTTCTCTAAGAGATGAGCTCCTTCAGGATCTTGACGAAGAAAATTCTTGACAGCGGCTACACAAAGAAACAAAAAATAACTGAAGCAGTTCATAAAATCGATCAGTAAATAATCCGTAAGAAGATTTAATTTTAGTCCTTGTTACGTACATGTTGCAGTATTGATATCAAGAGCTCCATACTCGACCATCAGTGAAACTTGCTTTCTAAGTAAACTGTTATACATCGTTATATGACACGCTAATTCGCGTTTTAAGTGGTACTTATTGAAAAACTCTGGACTCTCTTTCTGAAGCTGCTCCCATACTAATAAAAGAAACAAGAATTCAATTGTTTATAAACAAGCACATAATCAATTCAAATAGAAACAAAAATTATAATATATATATACTTGGTTTGGTGAGATGATGACTAATCTTGTGATTGTCCTGCAGATATGTCACCGTTTCTTCCAAACTCATGTACTTTTGAATACATGTCTCGATTATGTTCTTTATCTACAACAGAAAAACAACAATCGCACGATATGAGAAAAAGTAGTTAACAAACTAACAATAAGCTTGAGAGAATCATGAGTGTTTGTGTAGAAAGTATCAATACAGTGTCTATGGTCTGTGAAAGATTACGACTGCAGTTGCAGAGAAGATTGAGACGACATGGATCGTTCATAGCTTTGGAGGGCAGCTGACAAAAAAAAGATACGAGTTCAGTAATGAAAGATTAAATATACAAGATTCAAGGTTCTGTATGGGATTGAATATTCATTTGCGAGAATTTCGGGGAAGTAGAATAAAATACGCGCTAAAATTTAGCAAAAAAAGGGTGCAAACTGCCAAGCAAACACTTTTTCCAAAAGGAAAAAAAAAAGCTCTAGCGAAAAAAAAAACAAAAAAATCATATATTGAACGTCGTCGTTTGCAGATGCAGAGAGAGAAAAAAAAATGAAGCGCTTCGTCGTCGTTATGTTTTTGACTGGAAAAGTGAAAAAAAAAGAAAGGGGAAGAGACGAACCTGGTTTAAGTATTTTTTGCTGATGTCTTGTTTTTCATCGAGGAAAAGGTTTTGAGAAGATTCACAATCTTAGAGTCTTCGTTTTACTTGGCTTCAGATATCATCTTCAGGTGCTTTTTCTGAATCAGTTACGACTACGCTTGCATAATCGAGTTGAGTCCAGCTGCTCGCGGAGGAGATGATGATTTTCTGAAGAAATAATCGGAGCTTTTGTGAAAGAAAGAAAAAAAGAATCAAAGCTGAGATGATTTTGCGTTTTCGAGTTAAATAATCATGCAAAACTAGGTAACGTTATTAATGGGTCACAAATACCAGATATGTATAAGCCCTAATTTCACTCGAGCCCAAATAATATGGATCTAACTGAATATTCTTTTTTCTTTACTGTTAGAAAAAAAAAAGCAGTTCCAAATTTCTACCGGTCTGTTTGGGTCACTCAATTTTACATGTTTTGGATGGTTTTTTATGGTTTTTTATCCGGTTCAATTCACATGTTTTGGATGGTTATTTGTGGTTTTTCATTTTAATCCAGTTTTATCTGTATCACTCTATGTTTGACGGTACTACTTTCAAACCATTATCTTATAGACAAACCAAGAGCTAAAACAAAACATAAGAAAACTCGGTAGATTGTTTTATTTACTCTTGAAATTGTTTTGATGCCATAAAAAAAAAGAAACATAAACAAAATTGGGAATTTACTTTTCACATAATGAACAACCATTATCATCATGTATTTACCATAAGAAGCATTCGGCATTCCTACAAAGAAGCCTGTATTTACCAGAAGAAGCATTCCTACAAAGAACCTATAAAAACTCTGAAGTTGTGCAGAAAACCAAAAGAAAAGATAATTAATGTCAGACTGAGGTTGTGATATCATTGTATTTAGGACGTGATCGATCAGTAGATATCACTTCTTCCATTGCTTTCCGCTTATTACTACTCAACATTGGTTCAAGTTCTTGGTGGAGAGGCAAGATCTCAATCACTGATGAAGCTTCTTCTTTTTCTATCTCCGGTTTAGAAACTACAATCTCTTCTATGGCAACTGGTTTCTCACTTTCATTCTTCAATTTGGTTTTCATCATATGAGGTTTCAACTTAGTAAGATCAGCCAACTTTACTGGTTTCAAGAAAAACTCTTCAGCTCCTTCTTCCAAACATCTGTTGTTCAGTTTTCAAGACATTACATCAAAACTAACTATTCCAGATCCATTGCAAGAAACCATAATTTTATACATAGTTCAATGTTAAAGACTTATTCAGACCAAAGAATCAAATAAATAATAGCCACTTGCCAATTCTCAAATCAATCAAATGAATGTTAAAAGAAACAGAGCTCTCTTACCTGGAGATTCTAGCTGGAACGTTCTCAGATGACATTATAACGACAGGTATGCTTCTTAATGCCGCTGATTCCTATAGACAATCATGTAAATTTCTCAGAAGCAATATACAATCATACAATGGCATAAAAGAAAGTTCTTGTGAGTGGGAAAATATTCGAAAATGAGATTTTCTCCATTGACATTCTCATTTAAAGGAAACACTAAAGTAGAAACCTTTATTTCTTTTTCTGGAAAACGAATTTAGCTAGAGATGGAAAAGACAATAACCAAATTGAGAAAAGAAGAAGAAGAAGTAGAAGAAATACCTTAACTTTCTTGAGCAAATCATAACCAGTCATGCCAGGCATACAGTAATCTGTTATTATAAGATTTATTTCAACTTCCTGCTCAAATCCCACAATCACAAACAAAATTTCAATAACCATGATTTGTAAAATCGAAAGTAACCAACTTTGAATCATGGAAAAGATCAAAAAATGAACCTGATGAATTTGGGGTGATGTAGAGAGTGCATTTGGGTTGTTGTCATCTACTCTTAAACCCAGAAATTCAAGAGCTTTAGAGCCTGAATCAACTGTAGTTACTGCAAAACATAAGAACAAGAACCAAAAAAAAAAAGCTTTTTTTAGTATCTTCCTTCTCTTTCTCTGAAAGATTTTGGCTTTTTTCGAATTTACCTTGACATGAAGACTTTTGGAGCAATCTCTCTATCATTTTCCGATCAAAAAGACTATCATCAACAGCTAAAACATGGAACTTTGACTCTGTTTCCATTACCATTGCCAGAGATTCAATCGAAACTTTCAAGATCTGAATCTAAATTCGACAAACCCAGATGCAAAGTTTTCAACTTTTTTTCTTCTTTGTTTTGTTTTCCTTCTTTAGAAAGAAAAAAAAAATGTCCGTTTTTTTTCCCCGGAAATGTTGAGAGTTGTGTGAATGAGCTTAGGAGAAGAAGAGAAATAAAAGGGTCAGCCAAATCTCGGAGAGAGAGAGAGAGAGATAGAGAGAGAGTCAAAAAAGGAAATAAAACTAAAATTGGATCTAGCTTTGATTTACGGAGTAAGCAGGTTTTTTTAAGTACCAAGTAAATATTTCCAAGGAGACAAATGAGAGAAAGAAATTAGAGAAAGTTTGATAATGGATAAATAAATAATGGAAAGAAATCTATATGAAGATTTTAATGGATTCATTTATCCCACCAAAGACCTTTTTTTTTTAAGATAAGAGGATGAGGTATTCAATATGTACATTATATACTACCACAACCACATGCATTGCTATTGGTGGTTTTTAACAGCCATTGAAAATAATAAAAGCAACCGTTCATTATCAAAAGAATTGTAGTTTAACGTTTCAAAAAATTATACATTGGTTAGCTACATTTCCGTTATTAATTTAATGTTCGAAAAATACAAGATGTATCAAAGAGATTAAATTATAACGAAATATTTTTGTAATGACAATATTTTTTCTTTTTGATTTTTATATTAGTTATACTAAGCTGCTGAGATGTCACCAGCTCAAAATAAATCGTCGAACCTAATTAAGCATTTGCTTATTAATTTTTAAAACATGGTTTTGTTTGGCTTTTGTAAGGAATTGGGCACTTGAGGAAGGTACGACTATTTGGGAATGCAATTAGTGTATACGATTTAACAGATCTATGTGCGAAGAAAAAAAAAAGAAATTATCAATAGTGACCAATCACAAAGAAAGAGTGGTATAAAATCCCAATTTTTTTAAAAAAAATGGAATAAAATTTTGAATGTTTTTTACTTACGTCAAGGTTGATCCGTTGATGTATTTATTTACAATATTCAATTAGTTTCTATTTAAACTGCATAAAATTTCGAAATAATTTGTAATGGTCCTGATTGAAATTTGAAAGAGTGACTAGTGGAAAAGATTTTCGTCGGACCACAACATCGTCCCTATTTCTATTTTTTAGTTTATGTTGTGGGGTTTGTGTATTCATATGCGAGTCGATGTGACGTGTTCTGCTGCGTATCATTTACTTATTGGATGTAAATTTTATGTTGTTTTTGTCTCATTTTTTTATGGGTATCATCATCTGCATATATAATCTTAGTACAAATGTGGTTGGTCTCGGATATAATATTCAATCAGTAAAATTAAATTGGTAAATATTATATATGAATATGATGATTGGTAACATAGTAATGTCACTAACGGTAATTTAGTTGTATTTCCCATCCCACACGTATCTTCTTTTTAATGGGATTCGTTAAAATCCACAATGTGAAAATATATTCATATAGTATAAATGAAGTTTTATATTCCAAGTATCATTGATACTATTTTTTAATGCTTTTCCATCCGCAAACCGTAAAATATATTAAAAAAAATGTAACCTAAATGTGAAATAGTGTTTTGCGCTTATCGTATTATACTTGGAAATTAGATTCGTTGGCAAAAGAATAAGAAATTTACTAATAGTTAGGTTGTGTGGTAGTGGCAAAGACATGACAATGTTAACTTGATTCTCCGCCAAAGATTTGCCTCACATGGTCATGCCCATCATCACCACTATCATCATCAACAATCATCTTTATATGGACGACACGTATCCAAAGTATGGTAGACGCATGAAAAGTCCCTCCAATAACCATACTCTCTTATTGGTCTAGTGGGTTCCATATTGCTCTCTAACTTTCCACATTTAATATCTCTTTTCTTTTTCTTTTTATACTGTCAATTTCTGTTTATTTGTTGTTATCCGCAGCAAAATGACCATGTATAAGACTATGGCTTTTTATTTTGTTTGTTGGCAGACTATTGGCTATGATATAAGGATCCTAGTAGGCGGAAAAAAAGGATCCTAGTAATCTCAATTTCTTAAACTAATATTGCATGTTTCACCTTTTTACCGCCACAAAATTATGACTGTACAAAACTAGCTAGCAAGTGTACCACCACACTGAAAAATTGTCAAAAAAAAATTGAATCCAGCAATCGAAGAGATTTAGAAGCAAGAGTCAAAGGATCATGGCGTTGACTATAAAAGCGATTTGATGAAATTAATGGAGTGATCATGAAATTGTAATGCACGATGTGTCGGGAAGACATGCTTTCAATTTCAAAAAACCCTAAAAATAGTCAAATAGATCTTCCATCGAGATCTTGTCTCTTGAAACTTCAGCACAACCGTCCATGACTCGTTGATGATAGAGGACCCCTCCTCCTCTTCAACACATTCATAACTTCATCATCACAACTTTTGACCCTACAATGACAAATTTGAAGAACACGACGTTTATTAATTAGTGCGGTAAGTGGATGTAAATCGGACCACACATACATTAACTGTAAAATAAATAGTGAGAACAAATGCGTTAGTCAAAGTTAGTAATTCGTTGAGCTTTGTCTATGATCATGCATTCGTGTATAAGATTAAAAAACGTAGTCTATTATCTCACAAAAAATACATTAGCCTAAACAAATAAATTTCTTAACTAAAGGTTAAAAAAATAGGTGATTAAATTTTGATTAGAACATTTTACATAAAAGTTTTATGATGGATGAAATATTTATAATAATCTTCAAAAATGGTTAGAAATAGGACTGACGGTGACCAGCACTTTCCCCTGTCTTCGGGCTTTTTTGGTATCCATGGTAGCTCTCAGTTTTTTTTGTGTATTTCTTCTGTTTCTCAATATTTTCCAACAGTAAAAACAAAAACAATTATTTTTTATTTATCAAGAAATTAACCAGTTGGTGGAATCTTTTTGTGTCTTTATCAGATTGTCATGAGTCGTATTCTGAGCTCATTAGTTGACGACGATAAAAACGTTTTCCGATTATTTATTATCACAACAAAATCTAGAATTTATGTAATAAACAAACAAAAGTAAATATTTCTTCTGTTATTTTATAAGTGATATTTTAGGAGAATGCACATAAATTAAGAAATCATTTAATTTTTGCTTATTTCTAAACTAAAACATCATTTATTATCTAATCAATTAATAAAAAATTAATTTACAGAATATAAATCGTCAAAACTAATAAAGAATAATTAATTTTATTAAAAATTAAAAACATCATCTATTTAAAAACAAAATTATAAACTTAAAACTTAAAACATTACTTATAAAAGAACGGAGGGAGTATTTAACTTGTTCTAGACATATAATAAGTACATACGATCGTTACATTGAAATTTTCCTACTCTAGACATATAACTGGTTGAAAGAAACGTAGTTGTGTAATTATCATATTTTATTTGGCGAATATTTAGTATTTGTCTATTTGACTTGTAATTTTGATGTTATTAAGAACAAAATTATATCCATGTGCAAAATAAAATACGATTTAAGATTGGTATAAATGCAAAGTCAATGTCACGAATATTACTAACGCATCGAGAGACGTTGGCATGTGACATGATAGAAGATACGGTGGATCGTATCTGGTGGCGTCCATCTTTGCTTTATATATTTTATTATTTAAATGATTAATACTAAAGGTATATAAACTTTTTTCTTAGGGAGTTAAGTTTTAAGAAGTTTCTCGAGAGAAAAAAAAAAAAAAAAGAACTGAAGAAGAAATTGCAAATGGAATATGCATCACGATCGGTTGGATGCGTATTACGAGTCTAGACTTTAGACTTTACTTGTGTAATATGTTAACGTTATGGTGAGTATTTACTTAAAATCACCCAAATTAATATCGAATATTAGAAAACAACAACAATGGATGCGAATTACTAGTGGTTGTACCCAATCGGTCTTATAGTTGACAAAATATGTTTTAAAAAAAATATGTATCGATAAGCTCACACTATTATTAGTAAATGGCTTTAATTGTTTCGGTGTGTATAAATTAGTATGGAATCACGTTAGCTCACGGTGATATCATTAACATTAACTAGATTATTATATAAAAGAAATGAGCTTATGTTCTTAATACGGTGAACCCAAACCTCAGCCATTATTTTAAAAAGATACGACCGTACGTTGAGATCTATTTTGAGAATATTAACAGCTCGACTTGTCGACAAAAATTATAAGAAACTACACGAGTTAATAACTTTTGCATATTCCGATAACTTGTGCGATCTCATGTTTTCACTAATTTTTTGAATAGAAAACTGTTGATATGAAAGTATCATGTAAAATAATTTTAGTAGAAACGTTGTTAGCTTTTAGTCAACATTAAAACGACGTCGTTTACTACGTTTGTGTATACTGTAATGGCCATTACTTTACATCCTCCGATGACACTTGATGAAAGCAGCACCCAACTTTAGTTAATAACTAGTAATTTAAAACCTTTAGATATTGTATTGTTAAGAAAAAATAATTTCCAATTTGTACTGCTTAAAGAATCCAAAAAGGAGGGAAAAAAAACGAGTGGCTATTTCAAGAGATTATAATCGTTCTTGGCTTCTTGCCTTGGGATCAATCTTTATTCAAGTGGCATTTTGTGGAAAAGGCTATGATCTAATTACCATTAACCTTTTTCATAACTATGATTATAGGTTCCGTATAAACCTTGTGGTTAAGTATATGTTATATACGAACTCTTTTATGTGTAAATATGGGATAACAAAAGTTCATTTCTTGTGAATTTTTTAATTAAGGTGAAAATGTAGATGATCCTTATTTTTCCTGTACTCCCGAGATGGTTTCATCATTAGTCTTTAATCTGTATAAAATACTAAACCGAAATTTAAAATGCCCTTACAAGCGATGTTAGGACACAATAAACGGTATATGGCCAGTGCCCTTCCGATAGAGCACAGGGTCAAGGAAAAGGCAAATATTACACACCAAATCTTTATATTTTATGTTACGTATCATATAATACAATAAACAAATAACGATTATATGATTATGTTCGTGTAACTCTACCAACAAAAACTCTCCGTTTGATTATAAAGCTCACATTAAACTCCTTTCTAAAGCCACAATTAATTTATTATATAGTTATTTGGCTTGATTTAGAATAATGTTATTATATCAAGGTGTAGATCGAGTGAAGACCAAAATCTCTCTTGAAGGAGCAGCTAGGGTTTAGAGATCGATTTTGGTCTACACCTTGATAATCGGGTGACCTAAATAAAATATTCATTAAACCATATAATATTATA